ATTTTAGAATGTTAATGTGATACACATTATACTTTCTCTTAGTTAGTAATACAGTAGGCCTTGTTTTTATTGAAGAGTATTCCCCACACCTAAGACCAGATTCTTGTATCTACCTGGTTACAGTGCAATTTGAAATTTTTTGTTTTTTTTTTCCTGGATGGTGAAATTTGAAATATTTACATTAATATAGGCAAAAAAAAAAAAAAAAGATGCTGCTTTATTATGTCTGTCACCATGAAAACTTAGCTGCATCTTTTGAAATATCGGATATGAATTTTCTCTAAAATATTCTGAAATAGGTTAAATCTTATATAAATATTACTTTGTGCAATATTGTTGTGTAGTTAAATGCATATTAGCAAAGTATAGAGGTCACTGTGTAAACAGATAGAAAAGTAACCATCAGCAAATACTACAGTGATTAGTTAGAATCTGTATTATTCCTTATATATATGTATATGTATGTATTCTCTGTTACAAAGGATGAAGACAAATAGGGAAACATTTCAATGTAAACCATTTATGAATTGGAAGTGATGTTGGTTTTTAGTTATCTTTGTAAATAAGGTAATTAGAATGATATGAAAGGTAATGTGATTATTGCAGGGGTGTTTTTAAATCCTGTGTATAAATTCTAGGGTAAATTCTAGTTTATCAAGACTAGTTTTTAAGGGACCTTTGAGGGTGTTTTTGTTATTTTGGGGGGAAGGGGGTTAATCACAAAGTGTGTGGATTTGGGTTATTTCTTATTTTTATTTTTCTGTCCAGAAGAATTTCATAGAGCTTTACCAGGCTGTGCAAAAGTAAAATTCTTCTCAGGCAACATTTGCTTTTTAAAATAATCATGAAGAGCAAGGTTGTTAAAGCAAAAAGTTTTTATTTTTGTTTCTCTTGTCTTCCAAGATCCGATTTCCCCATTTCCCACTTGCCATCCAGCAGATGCCATCTGTCATCTAAGCTGGTCATTACTAATAAACAAGGAGACTGTCTCCTGACAGCCAGCACTGTGTGTAATCACTCAGGAACCAGTGGATCTGCAAAGACCTACAATCAAAAGCAAATCCCCGTTTTCCTTTTATAAAACATTCTACCCTCACCTCCAATATAAACACATTAAAGAATATAAAAAATGTTTAAAAATCATGTACTAATAAATTCATTGTATGTTAGAATTGCAATAGAATGGAGAGAAACATTTAGCTAGTAATGTATCTGGAAACTGAATGTCCTATGTGAGTATTAGATTTTGATAGCATGCTTTAAAGACTGATGAATATAAAAGCAGAAGTTTTAAGCTTCTTACTGCTTTCAAAACTGTATCCTAGTTTAGTGATACAAATGATTGCAATTTTCTGAATCATTAAATTATTTGGTTTGGTGGAGTGAGGCATGAAGCAATCTGGCGTCTTCTGATTTGTAAAGTAGTGATGGCAGTGAAGTTGTAATTGAAATTTAAGCTGAGCTTCCTTTTTGGTATATTATCCTTTGTGCCAACTCTTGAGATTACTTGCAGAATGTGGCTATACATTTTAGTACTTTGTGGAGCGGAGGGATATTTTGAAAATGTGCTTATAGAAAGACCTAATAAATGAATATTCCTAACAGTGAATAGAATGATTTTATGGTATCTATTAAAAAGGATAAAAGTCTTCCCCTTGCCCCAGAAATCATTCTATAATTACCAAGATATGCTAGGAGTACGATTATGATTTTAAGTGTTATCCCAAATTCATAAAGCAATAATAATAAAAACCTATGTATTAGTTCCCTCCTCCAAAGTTTTAACTCTTTTAAAAAATATATCCCTAGGCTTAATTGTACTTTTAATTTGCTTATTTAGTACTTAAAATTTGTTTAACTGTCCATCATTTTCCATTATTTTGGAAAGTGCCCTGTCCCCACAGAGACAGTTGGACTATTGGTTGACTAATATTACAAGCTCTTGTAGGGGGAAAATAGGGAGCTTATTAAATGAAATTCTTTACTAAACTTTAGAAAAGATATCTTGCATCATCAGTCTTAATAGGCATAAAGGTTATAAAGACTGGAGAAACTTTTGCTTATTGCCTTTCCCTGTATAAATATTATTGTCTAGACTGAAAGATAATATAGAAAACAAGACTCCAAAATCCGTGGAAATATATTCTTAGTGAATATATTCTTTATCATTAATATAATCCCATTATATTTTCATCTATATTTGCCATTAAAATTTATTTGCATTTATACTTTTAGGATAATTGAGTTTATGTCTTCAATAAGTCTGTTTCATCATTACTATAGGTTTTTTTTAAAAAGAACCTTTCGGTAGCACATGCCAGAGGTTCACATTTGCGCTAAGTTTTATGGTTTTAAAACAGGTTGTAGCTGTATTTATTGGTCATGCGAGTAGAGGAAATGCACAGTACATGTTTTTCTTAAGTGCATAAAGGACTTGTCCTCATCTGAAAGTTTTTTGCTTTAAAAGCAAGTACCTCTCCATAAATACTATGCCCTTCCATTTTCTTCATAAATTTTTTAAGATCCACTTGTGCATGTAGTTGAGACCACTGTCTCTTAAAATATAGCACTTTTCAATTCTCTCTAAAGAAATACTTATGTACTACTTCTATCACATGTTGTAAATTTTCATGTAATAGTGTTTCTGTGACTAAACTCCATTTTGATTGGCAGCTAAGACTTTTTTTCCTGTGGCTTTAATTTATCTAAGAGGTCTTTGCATATAGATGAAATGTATAATTTGCCTGGCGGACTATTTGCGTTGTGTGGCCTTAGTTTGTTTATTGACATTAACAAGTGTTTTAAAAGGTTTTTAATGAATAGTCTTAAATCTAAATTTGTGTGAATAATAATCCTTTTAACAGTGCTTTTTTGTAGCTGTCTTAAGTGTGTTAAATTGTTAAGCTATTTCTTTGTAAAATAGGACAATGGAATGCATAGAGGTTTTTTTTTTCCTGTAAAGTATTTTTTTAATAAACAAAGTCTGATTTGTCCTTTACTTATGTTTCACCACAAAATGAACAGCACATGTGAATTCTAGATACCTGGACCATGTATTTATAGTACTGACACCCTTCCCCCTTACCCACCCCAACCCCACCCATTACACACACTAGCTCTATTCTGCTGTAGTATTATTCATATTTTTTTTAAAGGAAATCTTGGACTTTTATTTCCCCCCCAAAAGGTCATAAATATTAGGAGAAACCCATCTATATTGAGATGAAGAAAAATTATGCTTGTGATGTGGCAGGACTCTTGCTTGAATTGGTTTATATATATTTATTATTTTTTGGTACTGGGGATTGAACTCAGGAGCACTACCACTGCCACATCCCCAGCCCTATTTTGTATTTTATTTAGAGAGAGCGTCTCACTAAGCTGCTTAGTGCCTCGCCATTGCTGAGGCTGGCTTTGAACTCAATCCTCCTGCTTCAGCCTCCTAAACCTCTGGGATTACAGGTGTGGGCCACTGTGCCCGGCTGGTTATGTATACTTATGAGAAGACAATCTTAGATTTCTATTTGTAGATATTCTTGAAAATGCCTGAAGACAGTGCATAGACTTTTCAGATGAGCTGTGTGACACGAAATGGTTCTTTTATCCCCATCGGTGTTTGTCTGAACTTCTCTTTAATTGTAGTCCTAAGCACTGATAGCTCTTGGTTCTGATTAGGAAAGGAAATTGAGAGGAATGTTTTTGGAGTAACTGTTGTGGGCCAGGCACTTTACATGAAGTTATCTCATTTAATTCTCACAGATTTTAGTAGAAAGTTAGTTAACTCTGTAATTACAGATGAGAAAACAGGCTTGTTAGGTTGAATAAATTGCCTAAAATCACACAGTTCAGATCAAGGATTCGAGTGCAGCTCTGGGTTCAAATCCCATGCATGCTAAACAATGAAGTATTATTGCTATTAATGTTATTTAGGTCTTAAAAACAAATGTGAATCTTTATTATCTTTTTTAGTCAAGCCTTTTGCCTTGAAACTAGACAGAACTGTTAACTCTAAGGAAGGGAAAAGCTGACAAGGGGCAAAAGCAGTAGGAAACCATCACCAATGTGCTGGTGAAATAATTAAAAAAGATTAATCCTGTGGGAGTTTAGTCAATTTTATTCCTTAGTAAAATGGAGATAACTTTCATTTTTACACCTATTGAACAGACCATAAGAACATCTACACAATGTTTAATACAGTACCTCTTAGGCTTTCTCCAGTGTTAGCTATTAGCTTTACCTGCCTCAAATGCTCCGTGCTGCAAATAGGCAAAGAACAGAGCTTCAAAAAGAGAATGGCCCTTAAGGGTTAGCTATTTATGGCAGGTGGGGAAAATAGATGGGGAAGAGGAGGAAAGCTGCTTGAAACCCTACCAGCGTATCTACATACTTAAGGACGCAATCTTCTTTCTGTGACCTTTATCAAACTGCTTGAATTTTTAACCTGCCGCCACCTTCCCTAATTCTGGAAAAAGCCTTCAGCAGATTCCTAAGCCTGTGACTTCCCTAATCCTTGAGCACCAGAAAATAGCAGTTGAGGGGCTGCAGAGGAAGACAATCACCGAGAGGAAGCCTGTCGGGCTCTGCGTCCCAGGGCTGCGTAGTAAATTCACAAACATTCGTTCATTGAACAAATGTGCAAGGCTTGTGTCAGGCCGCAGTCTGACCTCGTGGAGACCGCAGCCCACTGGCGAAAGCCGATATACGCAATGAAACAAACGTAAGTACTACAAATACACGAACTGGAAACCTAGAACATGGGAACCGACTTCCCACAGATCCATGGGTGGGAAAGTCGTTTTTGAGGAAATGATTTTTAAGTTGAGACTTGAAGGGTGACCTAGGGGAGCTGGTCTTGGCCACGGATCGCAGCGTGGCTCCGCAGTCCCTCCGTCCCGCCTCTGGACCGAGGCTCTGCAGGGAGGCCGAACGCCGGGGGCGGAGCCACCGCGGCAGCTGTAGCCGGAAAGCGGAAGCCCAGGCCAGCGGCGCTGTGGTCTGCAGAGCTGTTCTCGCCCAGCTCTCCGCTGGCTGAGTCACCGCCCCGCCGGGCCGGCCCGGCCCAGAGGGGACGCGCGCCGCCGCCGCCGCCTCCTGCCGCTCCTCCTCCAGGGCCCTGGGCCTTTGCACCTGTCTTTTACAGCCCAGCACTAAAGCTTTTGCCGTTGCTGTAGTGACTGGCGGCCTAGCGAAGGCCCTTCCTTTTTTATCCCCTTCATTTTCCAGCTCATTCTTTGCTTATTTTATGGCCCGTCCGGCGACCTCCTAGGTCGGGCTTGGAGGTGCAGTGTCTGTGTCAACAGAGTGCCCTCCTCTGGGCGCAGGGCGGCCGGCTGCCTCCGAGGCCGGGGCCTCCGCCGCGGTCTCCATGGTAACGGCCCCGCCGGCGTCTCGGCCTCGTGGGGAAGATGCGGCCTGCCGGGCCCGCCGCCTCGCCCCCGGCCTCACGGCCCGGCCGGGGCCACTGAGGAGGAAGGTCCCGGCCGCTGGCCAGCCGGGCAGCGAGCACCAGGTGAGAGCCCGACGCCGGGGGTCGGGGACGGGTCAACTGCGGCGATCTCCCTTCCCTCCTTCCCCTGCCTCCGCCGCCGTGGACACCCTGGCGCAAAGTATTGCAGAGGATCCTGCGCGGGTTTGTTGTTTGGGTTCCTCTCCGCTGGCAAAGAGCCAGAGGAGAGACTGCGGTTTATTGGAGAGACTGAGAAGTAGTTTCAAGTCTACCCAAACTGGGAGAGTAACCTTCACCAAAGAGACTCACCGACTGGGTTTCCTTCATTTTCAGTGAAATCCCACTCTCTGGCTGGAGACACAGATGGCCTCAAATGAGAGAGATGCTATATCGTGGTATCAAAAGAAGGTAATATCAGTCATTTTAATTTGTGAAGCATACTTCCTGCAGAAAGCTCCCCACAAAGAATATCATGGTACTTTCCCTGGAGTTTGGTAATGCCGGGTATTCTTACACCGTATCTCAACACAAAGGGGAAAAATTGATGTACAAGGTCATGATAAAACCAGTTCCAAGTCTCAGGATAAGATTTTCAAGGCACCATCTTTCTCCAGGCTGCACACACAAGCCACAGCAATACTTTGAAAGTTTGCTTATGATTAACCTTTTTTTTTTAATTTTAATTTTTTTCCTTTTTTAAACGATATGAATGAAGCCTGTATCTGTAGGGCTCATATCGGTACTATTGTCTTATTGATCTGTCCCTTATCTTTTATTCCTCTCTGGTATTCCTACTGATGTTTTCCTTAAGAATTGGAAATGTCTTTGAAGATAATATCTAATTTGAAATATATTGGTTATTGCTTTCTAACTAACATTTAGATGCAGCTGTTAAAGATTTTTGAAGGGAGTAATCCTTAAAAGTATTAATTTAGCCAGGCACTTGGCAGCATGTCTCTGATCCCAGCAACTCTGGAGCTTGAAGCAGGAGAATCCCAAGTTGGAGGTCAGCCTTGGCAATTTAGTGAGACCCTGCTCAAAATAAAATTTAAAAACAGGCTGGAGGTGTAGCTCAGTGGTAGAGTGCCTCTGGGTTCAGTCCCTGGTACCACACATACACAAAAAATATTAATTTATTCTAATTCTAAAAATTATAAACATTTTCCAAACATCATAATGATACTTAATAGATTCATAACTTTTGAGGCTTGACTTTAAATACAAGGATTGCCTTTGCATCATTTATAAGCCTGCTCCTTATTTCAGATTGGAGCATATGATCAGCAGATATGGGAAAAGTCAATCGAACAGACTCAGATTAAGGTAAATTGATTTCTTTGATTCTAGCTTTATTTTACTGCATTAATGTGAAAAGTGGATATTTTTTACTTTTAAAAAAATTTGCACTTATCCACCAAGTATGGTATTCTTTATTTTTAAGTTTATAAGAAAAACAATGGAGCACGCCTAATGATAAAATGACTGTTGACATGTGACCTCAGTAGCAAATCTCCCATATAAATGGGACTATGGTTACTCAGCTCTGGTCAGTTTTTAATACATGGCGATTCAGGTCCAGTATTGCCAGAGTGTCAGATTTTTCAAGAGAAGCTGAAAATGTGTATTTTTAGGTTAAATATCCAGAAGAAAGTGGTGGTTCTCTTCCTTCTCCTCCTCTTCCTCCTCCTCTTTTTCTTCTCTGTCTTCTTCATCATCACTGTGCAAGCCAATAAAAATCCCTTTTTGGCCTGAATCCAGCCTGTGAGCACCCATTTTTTTGATCACTGGTTTAGAGTATGGCATTTAAGTTTTTCAGGTTCTTAAACTTTTTTGTATACTATTCTTAGAACTGAGCAGATAGATTCTTATGTTGTTTCATGCTAATCAAGAAAAACTGATGCCAGTTTATTACTTTTTAAAAGGGGAGAGAAGGGCTTAAATAATCTAATATATCAAAGTAATTTAATATACCAAAGTCAGTTTTGTCGGGCTAATGATGAATATCGATGCTGGTGCAAATTAGTCATCAAATTGTTGCTTGGTAGCCAGATGGAATTGGACAGTCTAAATGGGGGAAAGCTAGTTCTCCAAAGAATGTATCTCTCTACTGACATTAGTACTTAAATCTACATATTCAGGGTCTTGCTTCCAGATTCTTGTTTTTGGATTGTGTTTTAAAAGGTTTGTTGTAGACCCTTTATTTACACTTCTTAAAAAACGGATAAACGGGGGTGGAGTGTGGCTCAGAGGTAGAGCACTTGCCTAGCATGTGTGAGTCACTGGGTTCCATCCTTAACGCCACATAAAATAAAAATAAAGATATTGTGTCCACCTACAACTAAAAAATAAATATTTTAAAACAATGGATGGATATGACTTAATAGTATACTAGGACTTTTAAAGCTCTTTGGTGAAGTGCATTTAACCAACACTTAAGTGCATTTCTTTATATAAGCCAATCAACTAGAAAACTGAACTACATGGTACCCGTGGCTAACTTCATAGTTTTGTACAGGCCTTGATTATATTAATGGGAGATAGGTTTACGATTGATAAAAACATAAATTTTATTTTATAACTCTGTAAGCTTTATCCTATTATTTTGTGAGGCTACATAGTAACAATAAATACAGTGTAATGGGAAGAGCTTAGAACTGGGTGTTAGATTTTGTTTTGTGACCTTTAGCTTTGTGATCTTGAATAATTAACAGTAGTTTATATGGATTTTGGGTTCTTATCCTTAAAAGGGTTTTACTTCTTGCTATGGAGTAAGGAACCTCTTTTCCCTACCCAATTTTGATTTTCTCATTTGATACATATCTTCCTTTTGTTAACCTGTCTGTGTTCATAGTCCTCAAAGGCAGGAATTATGTCTGTATCCCTCACTTAGAAATCTTGATTCATACTAGGAACTTAGTGTCTATTTCAGTATTTAATTGATTTCCATCCATTGTGCATATTTTCATTCATTGTTTTCTCATAGGGTAATCTAACATCTCCTTAATGTATACTTTTTAATCTAGCAGCAGTGGAAAGAATGAAATTAAAGCCAAAATAAAATTTTACTGAGCTACTTAATATGCACACACATACCAGTTGCTAAGAATACAGTGAAAAAGATATATGGGGTTCTTGCCTTCCTGGGTTTCACGATCTAGTGGTGATGGGGAAAAAAGCCAAGATACTTTTAAAGTGTGTTTAGTTAGGTCTTAGGAAAAAATTGACCAAATTATAGACTATTTAATGTAATTTAAAGGTATGTTCATACAGCTGGGCATGGTGACACATGCCTGTAATCCCAGCAGCTTGGGAGGCTGAGATAGGAGGATCACAAGTTTAAAGCCAGCCTCAGCAAAAGCAAGGCACTAAGCAACTCAGTGAGATCCTGTCTCTAAATAAAATACAAAATAGGGCTGGGGATTTGACTCAATAGTCAAGTGCCCCTGAGTTCAGTGCCCCCGGTACCACCACCCTCAACAAATAATAATTTGTTGAGTACCTGCCTTTTATGTGTCAGCAGAAACTATGTCTACATAAGGGTGAACAACAATGCTCATTTTTTCTTTTCATGCAATTTGTGGTAAAGTGGGAGAGAGAGAGAGAGAAAGCAATAAAATTCTGGCAAATCAAATACAAAAACACATCAAAAAGATCGTGCACCACAATCAAGTGGGATTCATTCCATGAATGCAACGTTGGTTCAACATACCACATCAATAGACTTAAAGATAATACTCATATGATCATCTCAATGGATGCAGGAAAAGCATTTGACAAAATATAGCACCCCTTTATGTTCAAAACACTAGAAAAACTGGGGATAACAGGAACATATCTCAACATCATAAAGGCTATCTATGCTAAGCCCAGGCCAACATCATTCTAAATGGAGAAAAATTGAAGGCATTCCCTCTAAAAACTGGAACAAGCCAGGGATGCCCTCTTTTACCACTTCTATTTAACATAGTTTTTGAAACACTGGCCAGAGCAATTAGACAGATAAAAGAAATTAAAGGGATACTCATAGTTAAAGAAGAACTCAAATTGGCACTATTTGCTGATGATATGATTCTATACTTAGGAGACCCTAAAAGTTTCACCAGAAAACTTCTAGAACTAGTAAATGAATTCAGCAAAGAAGCAGGATATGAAATCAACACCCATAAATCAAAGGCATCTCTGTAAATCAGTGATAAATCCTCAGAAATATAAATGAGGAAAACTACCCCATTTATAATAACCTCAAAAAAAAATACTTGGGAATCAACTTATCGAAAGAGGTGACAGATCTATATAATGAAAATTACAGAACCCTAAAGAAAGAAGTCAAAGAAAACCTTAACAGATTGAAAGATCTACCTTGCTCTTGGATAGGCAGAATTAATATTATCAAAATGACCATACTTCTAAAAGCACTATACAGATTTAATGCAATTCCGATCAAAATCCCAATGACATTCCTCATAGAAATATATTTATATAATTTCATAATTAGAAAATCCTAAGGCATCTACCAAAAAATTACGAATTGATGAGTTTGGCAAAGTCTCAAGAAACAAGGTCAGTATATGGAAATCAGTTACTAGCAGTAAGTAATCAAAAAAATGTAATTAAGAAAACAATCCCTCTCACAATAGCTTCAACGAGAATAAAAATACTTAGGAATAAGCTTGACATAGAAAGTGAGGACGTGTACCCTGAAAATAAAACAGTGTCAGAGAAACTGAAGATCCAAATAAATAGAGTAACATTTCATTTTCATGATCTAAAAGACTGAATATTATTAAAATGGCTAGTCTCTCCCATTATATCTATATGTGCAATATAATCCCTTCAAAATTCTGGCTGTATTTTTTATTTTTGGTAGAAATTGATAAGCTAGTATAGAATGCAAAGGATATAAACATTTTTAAAAAAATGTTACAGAGTTGAATGATTTACATTATGTAATCTCAAATTATTATTATAAATCTGTAGTGATCAAGATAGAAGGTATTGGTATAAATAATAAATTGATGGAACAGAATAGAAAATCTAGAAATAAATCCCTGCTTTTTGGAGAAGTTGACTTTTGACAAAGATGCCAAAGCAGTTCAGTGAAGGAAAAAGAAATTTTTCAATAAATGGTGCTAGAACAACTGAAAACCCACAATATAAAAATGAACTTTGAAAAAAAAAATAAAAATTAACTTTGATTCTTACCTTATACCATACACAAAAATCATTTAAAAAGGATTATAGATTTAAGTGTAAGGACTAAAACTGTAGATTTTCTAGAATAAAACTTTGTCACCTTGGTATAGGCAAGAGATTTCTTAGAAACACATCAATAAAAGAAAAAAAATTGACAAAATGGATTTCATCAAACTTTAAAACTTTTTTTTTTTTTTTTCAAAATGTATTATTAAAAAAAATGAAAGACAGGGCTGGGATTGTGGCTCAGTGGTAGAGTGCTCGCCTAGCATGGGCCGGACCCGGGTTCGATCCTCAGCACCATATAAAAATAAAGGTATTGTGTTGTGTCCATCTACACCTAAAAAATAAATATTAAAAAAAAAATGAAAGACAGTACAGGCATGGTGGCATGCACTTGTAGTCTCAGCTATTCAGGAGGCTGAGAAGCAGATCGATTACTCAAACCCAGGAGTTCAAGGTCAGCATACACAACACATTGAGACCCTGTCAAACAAAACAAAACAAAAGCTACAGTCAAATTCTGCACATACTGGAGTGTCTGTATCCAGAATATATAAAGAACTTAGTACCCCAGTTTAAAAATAGGCAAAACATTTGAACTGACATTTTTACCAAAGTAAATAAATAAATAATGGTCACATGAAAAGATGTTCTACATTATTAAAGAAGTTATTAAGGAAGTACAAATTAAAACCACAATGAAATGTAACTATACTCCTGTTAGAATAGCTAAAATTCAAAAGATCGACCATACCAAGTGTTGACAAGGACACGGAGAAACTAGGACTCTTGTATACTGCTGGTTTGCATGGAAAATGGAAAATAGTTTGACAATTAAATATATACTTCCCGTATTACCTAGCGTTTTCACCCAGGTACCAAAGTAAAAACAAACACATGCAAATGCTCATAGAACTATTCATAATAGCTGAAAAATTGAAAAAATCCAGATGTTGATCAACCAATTAATGGATAAATTGTTATATCCATAAAATGGAATATATTTCAGCAATAAAACCTATGAATATATGCTACAAGGTGAGAGAACCTCAAATATATTATGCCAAGTGAAAGGAGGACCCAGACACAAAAGACAACTTGCTATTTGTGTTTGTATGAAATTTTTA